ATTTTAAAGGAAATTTAAAGTTTGCTGTTACATATTATTGCTTTTTAGAAGGATTAACTTTGATAAATTTAAATTGTTTTGTTAATTCATTAATTTGATTTTGTGTTTGTGATATATGTGGTTTATTTTCTTCTAATATTACTTTAATTAAATTCTATACTAATTGTATTCTAAAATCCTTATGACTAATATTTATATCACTCTTTTTAATATCAAATTTAAGTTAATTATTGTAATATCAAGTAACCAAAAAAATAATGGTATCCAAGTTCTTCATACTGCTAACTGAGTAGTATAATATTTATGTAGCTGATCTGCAATATTTACCCTATCTATAAAATAATTATATTCGTCAATTATAATAGAAATTAGTAAAGAATTTTACTTATAGTTCTAAAAACTTCTCAAACTTTTATTGTATTAGTACTTATTTCTTGTGATTGATGTTATATTCTTTTAATACAATTTTCATTATCATTAATTTCATGAATGATTAAAAGCATTGTTACTGCTTTATTATTTATCAATAAAATAGCTAATACATCATTAACAACTACTTCAGAAAATATATTCCAATCTAACTTTTTTTATTTTTAAGAATTTGAGGAAAATTTGCACTATTTGTATGAACAGTTTCATATGCTCCAATTTTATTTTCATATAAATATTTAAAAAGACTAATACTAGAAAAAAATTATCTATAAAAATATTAATGGATTTGTTTTTTGATAATTGGAAAACAAGATGATACACTTTACTTTCTACTTTATTTAATTTGATATTAATTGAACTTCAGGTTGTTTTGAATTATAAATGTAAAAAAAAAGTGTATATATAATTAGAATCACAAAGAAAAAGGATTTTATAACCTTCTGATATAGGTTTATTTTTAATTCTTATAATATAAGCACTTTATTTGAAAAATCTAGCTATCATCTTATCAATTGATACATTTTATAAAGGAATACAAATTGATTTAAAAACTATTTAAATATGCATTGCCAAGGGATTTAATTTGAAATACCAAAATGTAAGCAAAATCATACAATCTGAAATATGCATAAACCATTAATCTAAATTTTATTTAATAATTTAAATTTAATAAAAATCAATAATACCAATTCAAATAGAAGTAATGTCATAAATATTGTAATGTTATGCTTAAGAAATTTGCTATCTTTATTCCAGTAATTTCTAATACTATGTAACTTAGAAATTTCAGCATATATTAAAATTGCTAGCCAAATTTTAAACTCTTTAATTGTTAAATCTTTTCATTTATACTATTTTCCTATATTTTTTAAATAAGCATATATATTGGTATTTTGAACTATTATTTTTATTTGTTTAAGAGAAAAATAAGACAAAAAATTAAATAAGGTGATAATAAATAAAATTAATATTTTCTAAACAAATTTATTGTAAATTTATATAAAGGTTTATCATGTTGAAAATTATTAAAAGAAGATAGAGGTAGAAGCTCAATTGTATTTTGATTATTTTAATTATTATGATCATAATCACAATCATAATCGCAATTACAACTATGATTCTGCTAGCTCTATTTTTATTGCTTCTGCCCTAGTACTCTCTTTAATTTGAATGTTATAAACACTTTTATTATCTGATTCTTGTTTATTATTATTAATAATGAATTACTTCATGAAAATTCAACAACATATAAATAATCTTTATCTTATTCATTAGAAGATGTTGTTTCCATAATAAAAATTAAAAAGAAAAAGATTTGTATTTGAATAATAAAAAAAAGGAGCAAATATTATAAAACCACAATCATCATTTTGCAAGCTATTAGTTCAGTTTTTATTTATTAATCAGCTAAATAATTAACTGAATTTGATGATTAGAATCTAGATCAATACATTTGCAAAATTATATATTGATTTGGAAAAATTTTATTGATGATCAATTTTTTTTTAAAAAACCATTTAAGAAATAATATATTGTATATATCTTTTTTGATTAAATTTTCTAAATAATATATAAAAATATTATAATTATTTTTAATAGATTATATATAAATGAAATTTTTGAAAATTTTTAATATAAAAACTTATCATTATTTTATTTTATATTAGTAAAAAAAAAAAACTATATTATAAATTATAAAATCCTAAAATTTTAAATTAAATTATTTTTATTAATATTTATATATACCTTTTTTTTTACTATAATATATATTTATTAAATTATTACTTATATAATTTTATTAAAGTTTTACTTTTATTATAATATTTTTTTTTTGTTTTGTTATTCAAAATGATTTATATGTTGAATTATTTACAATACAACATGCAATGATAAAAATGATAAACTTTTACTATTTAAAATAATTAATACAATATAATATAAGTAATAAATAAATCTAACGTTTATGATTTAAAATATACTTAACGATTTTAAATAAATCTTATCTGCCAAAACAAGTAATAAATATTTTAGTTACAAATATTTTTATTCTTGCAAGCTTGCAATAAGTTCTTTAAGTTGTTCTTCTAAAACTTCCCTTTTATTTCTCTCCTCAGCTAATTGAACTTCGAAATGAGATTTAACCTTATTGATTTCTTCATTAAACCATTTCTTTAATCGGAATTCAACATCGGATGAACTAGGAATTCCACCAAATTGATTAAATCGTGATGAAATTCCTTTAACACCTCCACTAATCGGCTTTGTATCAATGTTCGATGCAGTTGAAATTGTCGTTGTTTCCATGGATTCTGCAGGAGTTTCAATTGGTTGTTTCTTAGCAACAGGACGAAGTTGTATATTACCCCCCAAGGTTGGTAATTTGAATCCGCTTGGCTTAGCTGGTTTTTCTGGTTTAGGTGGCGTTGAAGGCGAAACAACTGGCTGAGGTTTTTGTTCTTCCTCACCTTTGGCCTAAATAAATAGCAAATTTTTGAAAGAAATAAATTATCTATTACCAATTTTATTTAAAAATTTTTTTAAAAAAATATTTTATGATATTAACCGATGCAACGGCCTCCAATAAGATCGCAGTTTGACTCTGATTAGCATTTTCCTTAGCACTATTGACACTAGGAGCTTTCCTATTTTTGATAGTAGGTCTGTCTTTTCCTAAATGGGATAACTTAGGTCCAGACGGCAAAGGTGGAAGTGGAAGCTGTGGTGGAGGTTTTTTCTCTTCAGGTTCTATTTCATGAATACCAGCAATACCATCCTCTTTTGTTTCAACAGCTTCTGTAATGCTATCTTTATCATCATTAACAACTTCTTCCTCTGAAATTTCTAAATTTTTATTATCAATTTTTTCTTCTACAATTATTTTTTCCGGTTTTTCAACATCTTCATCGATTTGTTCGTCTTCATCAATATTATATTCTGGTTCTTCGGATAAAGCTGTAGAAGAATCATAAGAAACTCTTCGGTCAATTTTAGGTGAAATGGGTTCTGTCGGAGAAGTTTCCTTCTTGGTTATATCTGATTTAGAGGCAGAAGATGACGACCTCTTAATTGGAGGAATGACAGGGGGTTTAGCTGGTGAAAAAGACTTGGGAATAGATGGTTGTTTGGTTAAAGGTGGTGGTGACTTTGGTGAATCTGACTGTCGAGGAGGAATTGTTGGATGTTCTTCATGAGGAATATCTATATTCGTAACTGAATTACTGTTTGTAGATATAGATTGAATGGGTGGCAAATCTGGTGAAACTACAGATGGAGGCCGTTTACTTGTCGTATTTTCATTTCCATCGTAACTTGAATTTCTTCGTGGTGAAGTTGGTGAAGTTGGTGAAGTTGGAACATTAACAGATCGTCTTCGAGGTGCATCAGCCTGAGACGTATCATACGTAGAGCGCCTATTAGATTTAGGGGGTGAAGACGTTTCATTGGTTGTACGCCTCATTAGAGGTGGAGAGACAGGTAATGTTGGAGAATCTTCTCCATAAATCTCGCATGTTTCATGAACATTTGGATGAATTAAAGATAAAGGTGAATCAGAAGAAACAAGAGTAGGTTCATGTGTAGAAGTTTCCTCTTGAGGGGCTGTAGCTTGGGTTTCGGAAGATTCATGACGTTTCGTTTCTTCAACATTTGATTCAATAAATTGTTCTGAAATTGGTTGGCTCTTATGTTGAACTTCTGCTGACTTAATTTCATTTACGTATGTAGAAGGAAATATTCCGATATGTCCTTGTTCATTTCTTCCCTTCCACCATCCATCTTCGTCAAGTTTTTCCAAAATTATCACGTGTGCACCTTCTATTAGTGAAATCTCGTCTGATAAAAAAAAATTTTTGTAAATTTTGTAAGTTACAAAGAATATCAATATAATAAATAATACATAATTTATAACCCATTCTATTTATTACCATCTCCATCGGCATCGTAACCATACAGAACTTCAGCTTTTGGTTCGACTATATAATAAATGCTATCAAGTTCAGCTCAAATAAAAGAAAAAAGTAAATGAAAAAAAAAAAATTATGAAAAACAAAAATACCTTTATTCGGTTTTGATGGCTTTCTTTTAGGTGGTAAATGAGGTAATAGAGGATGCTATATTGAACAATATTTCAAAATTAGCTAAATTATTAAATTATAAGTATCGATGACATACATCGAATTTTGTAATCTGCACGCGCTATTATAAGATTAACACGATGGTAACAAAAATTTTGGATAATTTTTGCCGGTAATAAATTACAAAAAAATTGAATCTCATTGTAGTAAAATGAAGGTTACACGAAGATTTAGGTAAATTTTCTATGAATTAAGTATACTTACAGATGGTGTGGAAGCTTTCCTTAAAACTGGAGCTGAGGCGATTGCATGTTTTTCTTCGGATCCTGAGGAATTTTCTGAGCTTTGTTGATTACGCTTTTTTAGTCCAATTGTAATACCCCCTGAAAACAAACTACCAAGACCACCTGGCTTGACTCCATATTTATTTAATGTCTTTTTCTTTTTACCTGTATTTAAAAGAACGATTAGATACTATATTTTTCAAAAAAAAAATTATTTAATAAATTTAATTACCATCTTGATGTTCAGCATCATCACCATCTTCAACTGGTTTACTCTGCACTTCAATTAATTTGACATGCTACCATAAATTAAAGATATGAAAAAAATTATTATGGTAGTTGAATACGCGTTTGATCAGCATTTGCTTAAATTTTTTTTTTTTGAAAGACTCACATTCGAAGGAAAAGTGCCAATCTTGCCGTTCAAGTCACCTTTCCACCATCCCTCATCACCTTGTTCTAAAACGGTTACAACAGCGCCCTTATCAAGTGATAATTCATCCGATTCTCGTGCTTCATAATCATATTCTACTCTAGCAAGCTTGGGCTCTTTAATAAAAGAGGATCAGTAATTAAATATTTACTTATTATTTAAATCGAATAAAATGCTTAATGATAGTACCACTGTGTTTAACTTCCGGTTTCTCTCCTTCAGTTTCTTCTATGACCATAGTGTCCTCTACGATCTCTTCTGCCTAAATTACGCAAAGCTTATTATTAATATATATAATAGTCTTGTCAAAAGTAAAAGGGTGCCCAAAAATATTTAAACAAAAAAATATATTGTATTTTTAGCTTTAAATACCTTGGAAATTCCTTCAGAGGCCATTTGAATTTTTTTTTTTTTAGCTTACTCTTAACTATAAACCAACGAAAAAAAAAGCATATAGTTTATGTCTTATTGTATGTCTTTCAAAGAGAATTTTGAAGCTATGGTGATGAAAAATTAATGAAACGAAACAACACGAAGACACTGCATCGAATTCTTGTTTTATATAATATCTATTGTCCGACCATAATGAAACTTGGTCACACGTGTCATGTGGTGGCACTAGGCATGCTGGTGTAAAAAAGTGCGACCAAAAAACTTTTTGGAAAAACCTCATTTTAAAGATCAAATTATTACCAATATTATTGTAATATTTTTTTCTTACTACAAATATTTCAAAATATTATAAAAAGGCAAAAAGCCGAATTCAATATGTTTTCTAATTGGCAATCATACATACATCAATTTGTAAACAAGAAAATAATCATAACATCTCTTTAAAACTTCAATAAACGCAAAGATATTTCAACAAATAAACAACTTGTATAAATTCATTATTGTTATAATTAACTATATATATTGTGTATTTTAATACATCGTATTGAATATATCACATATTTAAGACAGATGTAGTTGAAAATTGATAGCTTTTTTATTTATTCTTTCTTAAGGTGGCAATTTCTGATTGTACAATAAAACGTCGCTATTTTTTATAAAATATTGATTAATTTTAAATGCATCTATAAATAAACAACATAAGAATTTTAACACATACTTGTTTCTTCAACTTTAATAATTTAAATCTGTCAAAGTCAGTCAATGCAGCTCTCCTTGTACGATTATCTAATTTCTTGGCCCATGTTGATTTATTCCATTTAATCAAAATATCTTCTTTATCAAAATATTTCTTGATTACTTTGGAGCCAGCTCCCCTAGGGAAACCTCTGACTACTAGATCTGTGAGTGTCATATCACGGAAAGCATGAGCTTGTCGGGCTACACCAGTGGATGGACCATCGATAAGTGCCTATAAAATTTCGATAATTGAAGCAATTAATTATTTAATATTTCAAACGAGAATGTAAAAACAAATCAATTGCATTAATTGTATTAATTGCATTTTAAGCTATTCGATCATTATATTGACTTACCCTGTTGTGGTCAATTATTTCAACGATGACGGCGAGCTTTCCAGCGTCTTCGCCAGAGTCGATAAAGACCACTCGACCAACTTCGACTAAACGTTTGAAGGCACGGTTTTCCTATCATAAATATAACGAAAAATCAAATTAATTTAATAATAATTATTATTGGTTTATAAAAGTGAGCCCATATAGTTATTTGTAGATAGTAAATCAAGAACTAATAAATATCAACTTACCGTCATTCTTTTTTTTTATAATTCTTTTTGATGCGAAGAGGATTCGAAAGAGGAAGAAACAAATCCTTTGATGAAAAAATTTTTTTAATACCAAAGAAACCATTCTGATTGGTTGAAATATGACACACGATCATGTGATTGATTTCCATCTATAAATAAAAAAGTTTACATAAAATTAGCACTTAAAAATTTTTTTTTAATGTCTGAATTCAGACATTTCATACATTGTGATTTATACAACTGATTATAATATAAACTATAATAATTTTTAATACCATTTATTGTAAAATCATTTATATTTAAATTTCATTTTTTTATTTTACATGATTTTAACATATTTTTATAAAAAAATTATTAGCCAGAAATTCTTATTGAAAGATAGCTAAATATTTATGCATAAGTAAAGAATTTATATATAATAAATCAATTTTAAAGATTCAGATGATATGAAATTATATAAAAATAAATATCTGAATTCAGATATTGAAAATTAAATTTTTAAAGAATGGTTAGCGAATTATAAAATTTATAATATTTAAAATAAATATTTAAAAAGAAAATTTTTAATATATTATAAAGTTGAATTTTTCAAAATTAAAAATATTATTTGTATCTTATATTAAAAAGAAATTTATTAACTTATTTATTATATAAATACTTAATAATAATAAAAAAAAAAATAGCAGATTACTTTATATATAAAATATGATTAATAAAGTCAATATAAATATAATTTAAAAAAAAGGATTATTATATAACTATATGAAAGGTATGATATTAAAATTCATATTTAAATCATATGATTTACTGTTTTATAACCTAATTTTAATAGCATATGATCTATATTATCTAATAATCTTTATAAAATATAAGTTTATATAAAAAACTTATTATAAATTAATTAATAATATAAAGATATTTTATACTTACATAATTTAAATAAAAAAAGAATTTTACTAATATGATTTATAAGTAAAATAAAATATTAATTTAAAAAAATTTTTTTAGAGTTTTTTTTTTGTAATATTTAAAATAATTTAATATTAAAAGTATTTTTTTAAATTGTAAAAATTTATAAACAAATTTGTTTATTTATTTATTATAAAACTTTTTTTAATTTATTTATATAATTTAAAAATTTTTTTTATTATAATAATTTTATAATATATTTAATTTTATGAAAATTATAAAAAAAATCAATAAAATCAATATTAATTTTTTATTAATTATAATAAAATTCTTATAAGTTTTAAAATAATTTTTTAGTTAATAATAAAATAACTACTAAAGATTCTATTTATGTGATAAACTGTTAATTAAATCTACATAATTATTAATAAAATTATAAATATTTGTTGTTTAATTTTTGATAAATAATAATATAATATTATTTAATAAGATTTTTTATATTTTTATATTTTTATTCTACCAGACTTTTGTTAATAAATGATATTTAATAGTTCTTAAATTTTAACTTTTAATATTATTAAGTTTTAAAAATAAATATTTTTATATAAGAAATTTTGAGGATTAATTGATAAAAAAAATTTTTTTGATTATTGTAAATCATTATTAAAAAAAGCTAATAATTAAATAATTAAACAAATTTTATTTGTTTTTAAATTCTAAATGTTATATAAGAAAAGCTTTAAATCTAAAATTTTTTCTTTTTAATTGTGATAAGAATAGTCAGTCAAAATAAAATATTAATAATGTTGTAAGATTATTTTAAAAAGAAAATATAATAAAGTAAATGATTAGCATGTTTCATTAAATTGATTTATTAGAGAAATTACACAAATAATTATACAGAATTGATCTACTGGATGATCTACAAATTAATTTGCATATATAATATTATAAATGTTAGAAATGTTAGAAATATTAGAAATGTCAAGAATGTCAAGAATGTTATGCGTTTTTTATAGATTTGATATACAGTCAACCCTCTCTACTGTCACACTTCTCGAGACCAAAAATAAAAGGTGTGACTATAGTGAAAAGTGACTATATAGAAGGATTTTTATAGTATTACTAAGTATTAGTTCCAAAATGATATGACTATAATAACATTGTGATTATAGAAGGGTTTTTTTATATAGTGTTAATAGGAACTGGTTTTTATGAAAGGTGTGCTTATAACAGAGGATTTATATGATATGATTGTATAGGGAGTAACTATAAAGGGGGTCGACTGTACACTGAAACGGAGTCATCTAGCTATAAGACTGAATCAGAGAATGAAGATAGTTATAATAATAATATGACTCCTCTGATGATTATAGGTACTCTGACTAGTTCAGAACAGTGATTACCAGCTCAGAAGAATTTGCTGATCTATGCACAGTGTCTGTCTCTTTTTGAATGATTGAGAAAAAAGTGAAAGGAATTTAAAAAAATTTTCAATAAAGAATTCAAGCTAAAAATTGCTATAATTTGTATTAAATATATTTTTCGTGGGATATAGAGATATTGTGAATAAAAAAGTGAGACCTAAAGTCCCACTTAGATAAAATGCATTTAAATAAATCACATTCTATATGAAGGTATTATCGAATATGCAATCTGAACTTGATTCATTGAAATAACGCGTCGTCAAGCTTCTGGTTGAAAATGCTGAGATTAAAGCCAAAAATGCTGAGGTTAAAGCTGAAAATGCTAAATTAAGGCAGGTTATGGAAGAGAATGAGGCCAGATTTGTAAAACTAGAGCAGAGCAATAAAGAAAAGGCTGAGCTCATTGTAGAGTTAAATTGTAATGTTGAAAAAATCAAGCAGGAGCAAATTGCTATTAATGTTTCAGTGCAAGACGGGATATCTGTAGTGAAATCTCCCACTCATTTAGAATTACAGGTAACTTTCTAATCATCTATTTTACCACCTATTGAGGGTAACTCTGAGAATAGCTCTGATGTAACTCAACAACTCAACCCACTCATGCAGGTCTAAATTATTAGAGAATAGATAGACCGATGAATTCTTGATTTCAGTAAGTAAGAAAGAAGTTAGTGATATGATGAGACAACGTAATAAAGAGAAAAAACTTTTACGTAGATTAACACATTAAAGCCAAGATCAGGATGAGCCTTTAATTTCCCAGAATAATTCCTCTATGCTAGAAGATTCTGCAAAAACTGAAACCAATATAAGTAGTTTGCAATTATCAATCAAATTGAGTGATTGTAGAGCAGGAGAAACTCAAGTACTACCCAAGGATACAAATGTTTCTCATGATTATTTAGTAGCCCAAGATTTTATACAAGAAGTGTCTTTGGAGTTGATAGATGAAGATAATATCCAAATTATTGATAGAAATCAAGAGCTTACAACTGATATGATAATAGAAGTTGAGCTTGCTCATCTATTTCTAGAAGTAAGTATGAAGGGAAGAATACTATATATGTGAAGCAAAAAGAGATTTCATATCGCTATTCATATAGAAAAAAGTTCGAAAAGGCGTTTAAGAAATTATTGCCAAAGATAATGTTTTAGACCAGATGGCAAGAAAACAATTATTCCAGAATATAATAAAGCATTTTTCTGGAATAACATTAGAAACTTTATGTAAAAGAATCCAAAGAGCCATAAAGTTTTACAAACTGTTTGAAAAGATAGGAGTAGATAAAATTAAGAATATCAAATCTTACAGTACGGATTCTATTTTAAAGTTTACTATGCCTCAAGTCCAAATTATTCTGAATTATTTCAGTGGATCTGGCTATGTTGATACAGAGCTAAAAAAGCCTAACTCATATTATGGATGCAAAAATGTAGAAAAAGTGAGACCTAAAGTCCCACTTGAGAAAAGCCAACGGTATGTTCTAAAAAAAATTATCAGATGTTAGGATAAATACACCACCCATTTCTCAAACTTCAAAAACCAATCAGACTAATGCATTGGAGATGCAAGAGAAATGCTTGGATTCAGTTGAAGTAAGTACATCAGCAAATATATCTTTTTTCAATCAATCTAATCCAACTTATGACTGCACCTATTTTCGCAACAAGACATTGGATCAATATCCTAAATTATATAGAGAATTTAGTAGTGAAGATTTCAATTATTATGGAATTAATGATGAGACATTATATCCATTATGCAAGTTAGGTGATGGTAGGTATAGAAGGTAGATATACATCTGGATCTTATTTTATTAAATGTGAATAGTGTGAAATTGAGATAACTGTATAGTCTGACCAGAGGCACTTCACATTACCCTATATTTGCTTACACTTCATTATGTGATATTTTTTTACAGGTCAACTACTACCTAATAAATTTAAATTGATTCATATAAAAAGCAACATGACCAAGTCTGATAAAATATTAACTCCCGAATATCTGGACTGGCATGCCAAATTAGGTGGGTTACCAAGCGTTTTGATGGATAAGATTCGTATCAAATTATACAAAAGATATAAAAAAGAAACTGGATGTGAACCATGGCAATTATCAGAAGCTG